ACGACGCGCGCGCACACACATATATATATATATATATATATATATATATATATATACCCTCATTCATACCATACATCGCCATATATCTATCATCATAACCTCATTCACACCATACGTCACCATATCTCTTCTCACTACTTCTATCGATATCCTTTAGGGCCTTCTTCTTGCCTATTAGAGCCCTCCACTTGAACCAAATCGTCCCTCCTAACTGCTATTGTTCTAGGTCAACGCTATACATAGCCAAACCACCTAGTCCACTTACCATTACCTAATCGCCCTTAAGTTCTCTCGGATGTACTCATTCCAAATTCTATCATTTCTTGTCTTATCACTCATCCATCTCAACATCCTCATCTTACCTACACTCGTTCTATGATTATGTTGTTTCTTCACCGCCCAACATTCTCTCCCAGAAAGCCTAGCTAGCTTTACAGTTTACAGCCGTCCTATAGAACTTCCCCTTCAATTTCATTGGATTTTGGACAATCAAATAAGACTCCGAATGCATATCTCACTTCGTCAACCCACTATAATTCTATGTGCGACATCTTCCTCAATCTCTCCATTCTCATGCAATATTGACCCAACCCAAGATATCGAAAATAATTTATTTTAAAGCACTTCTTGGCCATCAATCTCAACTAATTCCTTGTTTCTAGTCCTATTATTACTAACTTTGCATTGATGTCGTCTCTAGTCTCATCATTCAAAGCTTTATCATCCAGAAAAAATATACACTACTTTATCTCATCCTGTAGATGCTTATTTTAACTCATTTATAAACAAAACAAAGAGATATAGGCTCAACGTTGACCCCTAATGCAGATCTATTTTCACTAAGAACTTTCTCTCCACTAGCTGTTCTCATACTATTTAACGCTCTCCCTTGTACATATTTCTCACCATGTCTATATATCATCTAGACACTCCTTTCTTTTCCAACACCTACCAAATTAGCTCTCTATGTGCATATCATTTGCTTTCTCTAGATCAATAAAGACCATTTTGGATGGTTTTTCTCTTCTTCCTAAACTTCTCAATCAATTGCCTACGTGGGAAATAGCATCAGTTGTTGACCTCCTTGACATAAAACCGAACTGATTTTCTAATACAGTCGTTTCGTGTCGTAGTCATAGCTCAATCACTGTCTCCCACAGCTTCATAGTATGGCTCATAAGTTTGATCCCTCGATAATTCACACAATTATGTATGTCTCCTTTGTTCTTATAAATTTGTACCACAATACTTTTTCTCAATTTGTCTAGCATTTTCTTTATTCTCAAAAGCTTGTTGAACAGCTAGCTTGGTCAACCATGATATGCCAATCTCTTCCATGTACTTCCAAACCTCTATTGGGACTTGGGATACCATCTAGTCTTAAGGCCTTTTCCACTCTCAAAGTTTCTTTCATTTCAGATATCCTACAAATGTGTCCAAAGATAACTTAGTTTTATTTTTTGAATATTTTTTATCAAGGTCTATTGCATTTCTCTCTTGGCAATGAATCAAACATGTCTCAAGACTTTTTTTCTTTTTTCTTGATAGGTAACCATGTCTTGAAGACAATACAAAACTCAGCAGCGGATGAAAAAGTAATATCATAGGAAGAACTGCCACCAAATTCATTATGACATTAATGCAAATCGAACTAGGATGCAGGGACCAAATTTCATGTGAGTTTAAACTAAGGATCATGGAATTGTGTTATGCGATAAGTTAGACATGTTGAGATCAATGTTTTAAAATGCGGGATGAGGCTGAAAGCGGTGGGGCGGGGGGGGGAGATGCGGTTGATAAATATTAAAAAAATTAAAAAATCTAAAAAAATAGGTTAATGCATAAAAAAAAAATTTGAGGTGATATATGTGATAATAGGCATTTAGTTTATTCATTAACTCCAAAAGTACTAGATGTCAGAGATTATGTATCCACTATCCCCTAGCTTCATAAAACATTCAACAATCAACAACTATAAGCACAAATCTGCAACCACAAACTTTAAAGTTACAAAATACTATAAACTAAAAGTCCATGAAGATTAAAGAGTTTTAAAGTCAAGCTCAAGTAGAGTTAATACAATCATCATTTCTCGATTTGTCGTCCCAAGTTCGCCTAAACTTCCTCAAATCAACACTCAAAAGAAATAAATCAACAATCAAGCAACAAAAAATACACAAATCAAATAACTTCAACAAAAAACATTTCCGCCCAAATTTTATTTTGGATCCAATCGATCACATAAAAGCCACGGATGTGGCTGAAAATTGTTGTTTGGGGTACCCTCCCAAACCCTTTCCCCCAATTTTCGAAGGTCAAAATGACCTTATTACCCCTGCCCTAGGGGTACAAGTTTGAAAAAAATGGCAGAAAATTATGCGCCCAATGCGGTGAGATGCGGGATGCGGCTCTGATGCGGAGAGATGCCGCGCATATGAGGGCACATCTCTCCTAACCGCATATACGGTGATTTTTTATGCTTGCCCAGTGCATAGCGCATGATGCGGCCGCATTTTAAAACACTGGTTGAGATTATTTTCATTAGGTGTTTTCATGTAATAAAGTGGGTAGAGAAGATATGGTGAAATTCCCATGAGTCAAAAGGGATAATGGCGTAGAGTTCAAATTAGATAAATGTGCGGGAACACTAGGTCAAAGTTGGAAGGTTCCAATGCATGGGAATCTGGCTGCATGCATGGAGATTTGGAACATGGGAATTGGTTCCATGAAGGCTGCATGCATGGTAAGTTGGCATGTGTGAATTGGAGAGCTAGGGTCTTCCAGTCATTTCTATTTTGATTAAGAGAGCAGTTTGATCTTTGTCTCAACTAGGATTTGGACATTTGGGACTCCATATAAACTCTTATTTGCTGCAATTTGGTAGTTATTGATTATATTTTGAATAATGAAATTCAAAAGTCCCTCCTACATTTGTGTGGTAGACAAGACCCCTAGTTGGAGTAGAGGTACAGCCCTAATTGGAGTAGTGGCGGGTTGGGGCTGGAAAGACCCTCGTTCCTTTCCCTCCCTTCACAGTGATTAAGGAAGCTCAAAGACCCTATGATGTTTGTGGTCAAACTAGGCTGAGATAGCTTCTTCCCCCTTTGACCTTCTTTGATGGTGATCTGAGAAGTAGAGGTGGTTTCCCTCCTCATGTTTGACCAGCTAATCCTTTGAGTGATCAACAAGTTCAAGTTCTTGCTGAACGCGTTTCGGATCTTCTAGGTCCCTGCCCCAGGTTTTGCACCAACCCCCTCAGTCATTAGCAATATCTGATCTAAAGAAGAGACACATTAGCAATATCTGATCTAAATAACTGCGTTTTTCTTTTAGATATAAATAACTACCTTGACAGATAGATGTCTAGCTAAACATACCGCCATTCCAAGAAAATATAATCAACTCAAGTACTTGTGCAGTGTGCACCTTCTTCATATTCAGACAATCATTGACGAACATACAACACTATTCTACAAATTCAAGGGACAGTTCACAAATGTCCATAACATCATCAGTCAACAAGATCTCTCAAGTATAATAACAGCAATAAGGTGAAAACCTACAAAAAATTAAAAGAAACGTACCGGTGAGGTCCTCCATGTTTGCAGGCTTCACATCTACGATATTGAAACTTTGATCACTTATTTCCAAGTTCCATAAATTTATTCTCAGATCATCTGCTGATATAAATGTCTCCCCATCACTGAAGATGACAAGAAAAATAAATTGTAAGTGACATCAGTCAGTTTACAGAATATCACATATAACTTTTTTTCTCTTGATTTTGAGTTGTGAGCATAGTTGCACCATTGCTCTGACTCGAGCCTTGGACCAAAGGATGATTCTCAAGGTATAATTCTATCAACAAAAAAGAATGAAACTAGATATTGACATTCTTTAAAGAAAAACAATGGACTCATTCAATGAACTTTATGATTTCAGCATAAAATCTCACACTAAATGACATTGTAACAGGCAGTTTAAGCTCAAAATACAGCTGACTTTCAGCCATTGTGATTTGATTCATCAAGAATTAGCATAAACAAGACAAATATAAATACTGCAACAACAAATATGACTGTAGTTCTTTGGCAAATCAGAAAGCAATCATAAACTGCAAAATCAAGAACTACTCATAATCTTAGTTCACAAATAAATATACAAAATGACTTATCAGCAACAAATAGATAAACCACGTTATGCCTTAATAGAAATGGAACATGGGAATAGCGAAGTATGGAAACAAGCGGTAGTTCAATGCAAAAGAAAAAGGAGAAAAAAAAAGAGTGAAAGGTTATAGAGAGGATATAACTGAAAACCTGTTATTTGAAATGGAGTTGATGTGATAGTCATGAGCATGAGCATATACTCGCCGACACCTCGGTACAACGTTCTTTTCATGGCTAACTACCTGCAATACCACAACCCATGCAAGTCACATTTTTGCTCTTGTGTATAAATCTCATGGCAAATACAACTCAATAGACTACAGAAAACCATAGACTATCAGGCCCATCAGCATCCAATGAATAAGGACTGTGATGACAAGATAGAGGGACCGACCTTTATGGTCGTGCCTTGTTCCGGTGGGTCCCACTCTCTCCATTGCTGTCCATCAATTCATTAGATGGTGATGACCCCAATGGGCCACATATCACCATAGCCCATCAGATTATCGAATACTCTCCACAAATGTAGATCATCACAGGTCGTGCAGAGTTATATCATAAGCCAATGAAGAGCAAAAGAGCCTCAAACAATCTGGGACAGAAAGAATAGTCAAGGCTAAGTACAACTACCACCGGTAGATGAAGTGATGGGATTCCTCCTGGAGGAAACACAAAGTCAGGATAATTATGGTGCCTTTGTGGAGATCCACCATTGGCTGCACATATTTTTGGGTTCAATGCTCCAGCCGTGCCAGCTACGTATCCATTTCTTACGGGTGCTGATTCCAAATTCATCTCACAAATCTTCTTTACCTTCTTTTCTTGAACCTATTTAATTATTTAACAAGCAATGTATGTTACGCGAAGTTACAGGGGGTGCTAATAACCACATACTTATCAAACTTAACCAAACAAGTCATATGAAACTTAAGTACCAAAAAAGTAACAAATTATCTAATAATCAACAAAATCAGTGAAATTTCATTATACAGAACTCCATGTGATCAGAGTAGTCTACGACTTGCAAATACAATCTTAAGGGATATTGTATCATAACCCAATGGTTTATGGTAAGGTATTCCACAGTGGCATCTACCGCCCATCCCTCCTAACAGATAGTGGAGATTGTATGTAATGGGCTCACTGCAACATTCACCCAAGTACAGCTAATCGCCATCATCCATCATCAAAAATGGTTGCAGATGCCTAATTATACCATATTCTGTTGGATTATTATATACTTTTCATTATCATTATCCGTATGCTCTTCACTGCAATACAAATAACTATGGATTTACATATCTATAGAGCAAATGACAAAATAAGTTACTGGCTCCTTAAGAAAAGAATAGCAACAGAAGTCAATGAGCCAAACTATAAAAACATTGACAAATTCTTCTTTTTACCGTTATGCCTGATGGAGAGTCGAGCACGTATCAATATATATTATAGCGAACGACAAAATCAGTGCACTTGAAAAAAACACAACACCACATTCCCAATATCTAACATCAGCCCTAAAAAATGAATTAGAATGTGCTTTCAAGGACATTCCACAGAGAAATTATGTTTATAAGGCTTTGTACATATGAGTACATCGGACATGGGGCATTCTATCACCTTCTTATTTGTATTTAGGTACAGGGGGTAATTTTAGTTATTTTGTATTCATGCACATGTAAATATAAGGGATACAATCTAGGGATGGGCCCAAGTCCGGCTGGTCAGGGTGGCAGAGCCACAATGTGATGTCACAGGTTCCATTCCCACCTACTATACCCATTAACATGTTAAAATATATATATGTGTGTGTGTGTGTGTGTAATCCCTCAATCTAAATCAATGAAATTAACAATTATCTCAATCATTCCAATATGATGTATCACAAAAGCTAGTGTTAGAACTTGATACCTTTAACCCTAAGGAACCCCAAGCTTGCAGTTTCTGGGGGGTCATAGGTATTTTCCTTTAGAAGTGAAGATTTGAAACATGCAGCTTGGCTATACCATGCAGACCAAGTGACCACAGATAACATGTGAGTTCTCCACACCCATATACACTCCGATGGACCTAATACATGATTGGTTCACCCAACCATGACCAACGGAATAAAAAAGCTACCCGACCTCAATTAAAGATCTTAATCATGTAGAGAAAAATATTCAACTAATCCGAATGAAACCATAAATGGCAAACATGTCAGTATTCAGTCAATCAGGACACAAAATTTCCAAGAAAATATAATCCTGGATCACCTTGAAGGTCAACAATTTCTGCATTCCCTCTTTAGAACCACGCTCAACAAATTCCATCCAAGTACCGCAGTCATTCTCGGCATTTGATTCCAATTCAATTCTAATTATACACATTTTAGACCAAAATCCTTTTGACCCCTTGGCTTCAGCTAGAAAGCAGGGGACAATTTTGTGTGACTAGAAAATTTCTAGCTGTAGCACCCCATGTAAGAACAATCAATCACAAGATAAAACTTGATTTGTTAGAAATTCAGGTCCTCACAATCCTCCCTTACCACATCAAGCTCCAACTGTGATTCCCAGAGAGCTCAAGCACAAGAGTAAACACATAAAAGTGTCAACACAGACCTAGCACAGCTCCAAAGGCAATGAACCTCCCCAGGGACAATGGCATAAACATTACTACCCTTGCACGACCTTAATTAGTGACAAGCCATAGGTGGGGGGTTAAATTCTGAAGGAAGGCCCTGGCTACAAAGAAAGACGTGGACACTTGCCTGAATATTTGAATGCAAAGACTCGAACAGAAGCTTCGTATGGTCATCCCAAGAAACAGGAAAGCCTGACCTCATGCATACAACTGTGGGACTTTAGCAGGGGTTTGATCTAACTATAGACGGTCATGAAGCAATATAAGTCAACATGAAAATCTTCATGATTTGTGGCTGTCACTCTCACATTGTTAACTGCCTTAAGTTTTATCAATTATGAAAGCCACGCGCCTAAAATCCCAAAGCACAAGCAGCCAAAGCAAAAATAATATAATCCCAAGTCCCAAATACCTACAAAGAAAACTGAAGAATCAAATTAGAGGGCCCTGACTATCATCATAACTAAACATTATATTCAACTATGAAAGAAAATAATAGACAATGAATACATCACACAGACGCACTCACACTAATCTAGAAAGGCTTCGAATATAAGACATGCATTATCACTTCATCTGAAATATTCAAAATGAAAAAGAAACGAAATAAAAAAGGATTAATACTACTCATTGAATTCCAAAAGAAGTAATGGGAACTTTCTCACCTTCCAATATTTTATTGTCTTGTCATTTGTGGACAGAAGGAAAAGGGTCCCATTTGCCATTTCACACCACTGCACCTTGTTAATTTTCTCCTCTATTTCCAAGCTCTTGAGATAATCAAACTACAAGGTAAAACAAACAAGCTCACTAGAAATAGACCCCATATTTCCTGTAAGTTGAACTGTAGTGCAGACTAACAACGGCTACTCAAAACAATATACCTCAGGCTCATGGCTTTGAAACTCCGTCTTGTAGCGAAATTCAGGATGTTTTGTGATGGGATGATCCAATCTCTCGAGCTCCTTCCTACATGTACGCTATGTTGCACAATAATGCCCAGGAATGAGGGAGATGATAAAAAATTACCAATTTCTTCAGAAACTTCAGTAAGAGCCCATTGTATGAAGTCATTTTATTAACAATTTAAGTTAAACCCCATTGTTTTTTTTGTTTCTGAACAAAAGTTGACTAAGTTAAGGCCCATCATATATCAAAATTCACATTTTTAAGAATTTAAGTCCAACCCCATTATGAACCAAATTACAGCACATGAAATGATTATCCAAAGAAGAATAATTATATATCTTACATCTCTTCCATCTGCCCTTTCAAATAGAACCACACGACCCCCACGATCTCCAGTTGCAAGATGCTCACCCGTTTTATCAAATTCAATTGCCGAGATAATATCCACTGCAGATACAAAAGAAATGCTTACATGGAGCATCAACTCAATTAAAAAATCAACTTGCAGCCATAAAGGTAAATTAAAAATAAACTCAAGAAAACTTCAATTCCAGGCTCTTCATTGGGTTCAAATCTTCAATTACATACCAGGGGAATAAATTTCAAAACGAAAACTGAGTCGAAAAAGACTGGATTAAAGTACGCCACCATCCAGAATAACCAGCATGTGCATACAACTTTTCTGTAAAAGATTACAATCCTAAATTAACATGGAAATTATGATCCTACAACATTTTTGCACCACCCAAGATTCCAAAGAAACAGATTAAAAGAAAAGAGGAAATACCAAATTTAAAACAAAAATGAAACCGAATGCAAAGGACAATTCTCTAGTGGGGGAAAAACATCTTTTTCCTTTGCAATCGATCCCAGAATTTGCAATAATTAAACGAATGAGCTGGGACAAACACTATAGATCAACAAATTACCCGCAGAGTATTAACATAACACATGCAAACGCAAGAAAATTTCCCCAAAATCACCTTCTTAAAAACCCAAATCAAAAGTATCCAAAAAGCATAAAAGGTGAAGAAATTACAGAGTGAGATACACAATTATAGAGGGAGAGAGAGAGAGGAGGGGGAGGGGGGGGGGGGAGGGGGGGGGGTATACCTTCCTGAACTTCCTCTCCTGCTGCACGTTCCCCAAATACCTGAGAGAATCTCCATTCCAGAGAAGGGGGAACACCAACTTCTTCTCCAACTGGTATCATTTTTTTTGCTTTTTTCCCTCCTTCTGAGCTTTTCTATCACTTCTTCGTCAACCCAATATCAGGACCCATCAGGTAAGGACACAGCGAAAAACAAAGGGAGAACCCAAATAATTAAATAGAATGGAAGCAGAGAAACATTAACGATTGAGCATGGGTTTGAGGGATCGTAGAAGGTGCTCGTTTACAGTGAGCGTCATATTGACAAGGAGAATGCAGAGATATAAATGCAGGTGAATCCTTGAAGCTTCTGAAACTCTTTTTTGGAGGGTTTGGATTGAAGTCCCACCTTTCACTTTAAGAGGGTTCTTTCTCTCTCTCTCTCTTGAAGCTTCTGAAACTCATTTTTGGAGCGTTTGGATTGAAGTCCCACCTTTAACTTTTAGAGGGTTCTGTCTCTCTCCCTCTTAAAGCAGATTATTTTACAGTCAAATTTAAAATGAAATTGATGATTACTAGAGTATTAAAAGAAAGGGAAAATGTATCCATGAAAAAATTAAGCTCCTGGGAAAACAGTAGTAGAGAAAATTTCGCTTATGATTGTTATTATGCCCTGAAGTAATAATTTAATCTAACTTTGGCTTAACCATTACATTTCATGAAATATTCCCAAACATTTGTGTTTCTTTCTAATATTAGTTTGATAATTGCATCTTGCATAATTTCTTTTTGTTTTTTTTTTTTTTTGTATAATTTAACAGTAGGAATCGAACTCAAGACATAGCAGTGCTAATGGCTGAGTATTCAATTCCATGCCTAATTCTCCTAAAAAGCTCATATCTCTATGGGGTTTAACTTTTATAAGAAGAAGCCCCAAACAATAATGGCTTGGGCTTTGACGGTAGTATTGTTGAGTCTCA